GGAATATTTTTCAAATACCTACGACGATCTTTAGCAAGTAGTCAAATAAGCGACACTTGAATATGGGTTACGTGGCCCGATCAGAAACTTTGCTGACACCCGAATACGAGTATCGTGGCAGTCAACGTGTTAAAGTGTTGCTTGGGTGCATTTTGTATGTGTAATGCGCATTTCTACTAGACACATTTATTACAAAATATATACATTTGAAGGTAAAAGTTAGATTTAGTAATCAATAGTGACACATGTAGAATGCACTGTAGTAGTGCCACTGTAGTGTCTTTTTGCGAATCTCTTGGAAATCAACATTAGCCATCGGTTATATGTATAGCAAAAAATTGTTTAAAATGTTGAGCTTTCGACATGTTCAAAAATGTACTCAAAAATGTTTAGAAAAAACTGTATCTCAGACATTTTCATATCTATTCACTTCCGGCAGAGATATTTACAGTGAGCGTAGAAATTCGTAAAACAATCAATTTGAAACAATACTTCGTGAAATTGTCGTGTATCAACTAATTTTTTATAAACTACGAGTGAGTAAATATTGTAGAAAATATGTAGAATAGATACAATACAAAGAAGAATTAGTTGCTTGTATAACCTGCGAAATTTACGAGAAAAAACAAACAGTGGCAAAAATATGTACGCAATATTTATTCGTACAATTCTTAAATTTTTAACTATTCGTAAAGAAACGCGATTTAAGTGAATTTAATAATGAAAAATCAGTGTAAACAGACAATTAATATTTCCTAGGATATCCTTCCGACTTTATAATTACTGCAATTCTTTTAGATATTAAATTAGCAAAATTTGATGTTATGTGTGGCTGGATCTCGTTCCACTTCTTCAAAAGAGCATCCTTTAGCTTTCTTGTGAGGAAATTTCCATTTTTTATGGAGTTGATAATTGGAGATTTTAAATATGCCGGTTATCATACATGAAAACGAAATTACCTTTCATATCCATTTTTTTCTCACTAGAAAAAGATTGCATTTTAAAATGTCAACATAAACCGTAAATTGTAACGAATTAACATCAGTTGCACTCATGCAACCTAAAACAATTACGGAACTTCCACCATGTTTCACTACAGACCGTAAGTTTCTGGTTTTAGTTTTTCATTTTTTTCACCCAAATATTACAGCGTCCATCGGTCGCGAAAATATTAAATTTATTTTTGTCCGTGAAAATTACTTCGTTGCGGTACTTCATTGGCGTACGGATATTATTATTTGCGAATTGTAATCATTTCTTTCCGTTGTTTCTCTTACAAAATATTTTATGCGGGCCACACGATCGTGAAATCCTCGATTTTGTACAAAACTACGGACAGTACTAACAAATATATCGATATCGAAATTATTTTTAAGGTGCCTAACTATTTCTATCGCACTTACTTTTCGATTTTATCTTATCATTCTAATAATAATTCGGCCAATATACTGATTAGTTTTTCCACTTCCTCAGTTATTTTCCAGTTTTTTTCCTAGTCCATACCTATCAATTATGCTTTGTATAGTAGATCGAGGTCTGCTTACTATCCGTGAAATTTCTGCTAAACTTTTACGCTGTACGTTATTATGTACATTAATAATAATTTGTCTTTCACCTATCGTAGTCTCTGTACATTTACGTCCCATTTTCCAACGATAATTCTGAATACATCAAAATTGTTAATGCTACTGATGCCGATAACGTTCCCAACATCAATCATGATTACGAAGCAATAATGTCATGTGTTTACTTTATGCATTTTCCGGTGAGCAGTTTGAAATAAGAACTGTAGGAATACTTATTGCTTGTATATTTCTGTTGATATTTTGCTTTTTCTTGCTCATTCCACAAGTTGTACAAGTAACTAATATTTTCTGGATTGTATCTATTCTAGAGGTTTCTCAAAATATGTACATATTCATTGTTCCTAAAAAATGTAGAAAAATTTAGTAAACAACAATTTCACGCAGTCACGTTTGAAATTCATTGGTACACGAATACTTTCTACACCCTGTAGATTATCTTTCTCGTATCTAGTTCTGTGTATTAGATAATTAATCAACTTTTCATATGAATATTATTCTGTCAAACTTTAAACATTTTTAATATAGAGAGTACTATGTAAATAAATTATACTTAATTCCAACTGTTGTAATATATTATAGGGATGTTGTTCATCTTTGTATTATACGCACTATATGTTTGGGAACAATTGCTAGAAAAACGAAGGAATATGTTTCCAAGTCAAAAAATAAAAATGAAGGACAAAACCCATTAACTGCAATTCCGTATAACTAGCATTTGATTACAGGTCTCCGATCCTAATTCAAAATTTATTGACAGGGAAACGAACTGTGGAAGAAGAAATATGGTACTAAACATGGTACTAAAATGGAAACTATCGTTCAGAATGTTGCTCTTGACAACATATTTCAATGTCATTGAAATCGATGGTCGTTTGCTATGTAAATAATTTCTGCATAATCTTCTTCTTTAAGGGAATTTGTAAGAGTTGAGCAATTGATTTGTCGTTCCTGATCAGTCGTTTGAAATCCTTTACATTTATTCATACCGGGTAATGAGTATTTTAATTGATTTTAAATATTGATAAGTAATGAACGGAAATTGAAACGCAATTCTATTATTCTTTATTTTCGTTTTATTTTTTATACTCCTCAAATCCGACAATTGTCATCGAATACTCCGTTGTAGAGTATCGAGAAATAAATATTGGTTCTATACAATAGGGAAAACATTTAATAAATAAGATACATTGAACATTATAAAAATTATTTTGTATCACTCACATTTCAGTTGCTCGATTACCATTTTTCCGTTTTTCTTATTATTTCATTATTACCAATCTAACATAATTACTGAATGTTATTCAATAATTCTATTTTACAATCTGTGCGCTATAACATTAATATCCGTTGAAAATTTCGGCTGCATTAAATTCCTTAACTTTTTAATATCATTGGTAATTTATTCCTTAAACTCCAAATTACTTCTCAATCTTATACAATTAATATGTAGTTTGTTGTTTTGTATCGTAATATACGGGTATTGTTTCAACGACTTTTATCGAATAAATCTATTTTTAATTCAACATCGCAATCAGAAGTCTTTTCCACTCAGCAGTACAATCACTCTGGAAAAAAAAGATACTGGTGTTTTCGTTTTACAGTTCATGATAAATAAAAAGTCGTTTGCGAACGTGCAAATTTATTGCAAACGAAACATATATTACAGTTACGTGAGATGCATATTATTAACATTTATGTTAGAGATGCCTATACTTTTCTTTCTTAAATAAAATTAATAAACACATTCCTCTCCATGATTTTCTCTAATTTAAAAGTGCGATCAGAAGCCGCTTAAACTCTTCGCTGCAGTCACTCTGTAAATGCAAACAGAATGTAGGAAGGATTAAAGCAATGTAATAAGTGCAAAATAATATTATATTTATATACAGATTCAATGTACACGTACGCATGCACATTATGAAAGCAGTTTGAAATTAGTAAAATTAGTTAACTGGCATATGAATTACTTTATTAATTAAGGAATTTCGGTATGTAATTTTTAACAATTATAACAGACAATATTTATTTATATTCACTCGATAGGTCTCACAGAGATTAGTATAGTGTATTTCGATGCGAACGAACTAATTTTACGAGCAAACTCATATACGACATCATAAAGTCAAACAAAAACCAGCCATGTAGTACCGTAATCACTGCTAATTATTGATGTAATTTACTACAAATTAAAGTTAAGACATCTATACAGCTTCGCGGAATGTTGCGAAGATATATTCCTGGCGTTAAAGTAAGATTTAAAAATAAAAAGAATTGTTGAACATGAAATGTTTTCATCCAAGTAGAGCAAGCAAGAGTCTCTTGTAGTCTCCTGAACAGTCATCCTGAAATTTATGGAAAATTATGGGCAGCCAAGGTACAGGCAAGGTACTTGTTAAAGAATGAAGTGATTTATGAAAAATTAAGACACGCGTGTGTGTAAAATTAAGGCGTGTATTTTGTGCATTATTACTTTGATGAGAGTGAGTCCAAATATAAATGTTTCTGCAAAGAAATCCTTAATTTTCATAATTCTATCAATACGATTCTTTTAGTTGCTATAGCTTAAAATATCTATTTTTATGGGATACTTGATATACGTGTCATTAAATGACATTGTATATATTTCGTAATATGTATTTTAAACAAGTTTTATTGTTAAAAAAAAAAGAAAAGGTAAATATTACAGAAACATTCTTATAAAAACACCAAGTATTTAGATAAAAATATGAAGTATCTCTGACTTACATCGATATCACCTGCAAGCGATTGCCCATACATTTTTTGATAAGTATCCTTAATATCTCCTAAATCGATTTCCGATCGAGCTACGATTATGCGTATCAATGTCGAGTCATCTGTACCTAATCCACGCATTGCTTTGTATAATCTCTCCGCAAAATATGCAGTTTTATCTCGTGCACACCTGACTAAAAGAAACAAATTCAAAATTAATTTGTTAGTCTGTATTTTGCATTGCATTTTCGTAATAAGCACAAAATGAATTTTCACGAAAGGCAATGAAAAAATTATTACAAAGAATTGTACTTGGAATTATGTGATCGCAACGAAACTACAAAACTTTGGTACAATGAATATGCTGTGAAGATTAGTTCAGATTTGAAGAAGATTGTCGGAATCTATGGGACATATTTAGGAGGTTTTAAAAGTAAATATCCGCATTGGATGTCGCGTATTATAGCGTATAACAAAGGACGATCGGAACAGTCTCTTTAAAGCTGGGTTTACACTGATTCGATATCATGCGAATGTAGTTATTCGGCCTAACACTGCATTGTAACTGGAACCTAATCCCAACCTAACCCTAATCTAGACAGTGTTGTCATCGCGACAAGTAATCCACTGAAACGACTGAGTCGTAGATCTACTTTTTCAATCTAGCATTTCAATGTGCTGGCTGAAGTATACATATATTGTTTTGAGAAAATTCATTATCACTACAGTCTCAGATCTTTCATCGTCGAAAAAAGACTGGAATAATGTAGATTATCGGCCGATTTCCGATCAAGTCACTAGAATATAATCGCATGATCCAGCGCGACTCAATTAACATAATCTCAGCTCAAGAGCTTTTTCACATAGCGATATGCGTCTAACAATAAGATACTCGATGCTAATACGATACAGTATCTGACTAATGTCGTAAATAGATATCATTTATTTGTTTTTCGGTTGGTAACAACTTCTAGTCTGCAAAACAACACACATTTGTTAGCAAAGGCTGTCGCGAGCAAATGCTGAAGTAAAAGATTACCCACTTGGTTTATACAGAAAAGAGCTAGTAAAAAAATGAAAGCAAGTAGGAAATATTGGATTCATCCAACAAGATGAATAGAACAAAGGACTTGTTCAATTAATACGAATTTAGAAGGAAAGAAGAAGAATTTCTCATTCGCTATTTTAACAACTTTGTAGCAACTCTAGTGACACGCCTAAAGCAGAGACTAGGTGTTACTGCCAATTTATTCCGAGAATTCTCTTAATGTGATTTTAGTTTGAACTCCTTTCAAAAATCCTATCTGTCTAGATACTTCGTTTCTTTCTAACGACTCCTCTCTTCACTACTTCTATCATTCATTTATTATTATTGTAATATCGTGATATAATATGTTTACAAAGGAATGGATGATACAGATGTTAATTGGACAGAAAAAGACGATTGTTGTTCAACCTGAACTATTCACGCCAAACGTACAGAAAACAGCACAACTAAATGATTAGATAACGACTCGACTTTCACAAAATGCAATCAACACTCTCTCGGCAACGCCACTCGCAAACTCTCCTTCTCGACTCGCACGCTGCTTCTCGACTCGCCCTCTCTGGCCGTTGTAGCATTCTATTGTCTTTTACTCGGCCCACCGCACACGTGTTCTGCAGACGCTCGTAGCTAGGGTCACGCAGGTCTTTTCTACGAAAATATGCACTTGAAAAGACCGATGACACATTGATGGACCCGACGGCACCTCGGCTCTCGCGACATTGTTTATGGTTCGCCCGATATCTCTTAGGCCTTTCGTCCACGATACTACATTATATATCATTATTATATAGTATGATACTAATAATGAATCCAAACATTCACATGTATATACACTCATTCATTGATTTATTCTCTTCCAGGTCTCTTCTCTTTGAAGCAATAATTAATACTATTTCTGTTAAACAAACCAAACCATTCAAAATTAAATTTCACCAGTATGTTCTACATACTTTTTACATTCTAATAGAATGCAGAAAAAATAATAAGAGAAAAAACATTATACATACTAACAAAGATTCACAAACGCTTTATAAAAAGAGCTATAAGAAAAATATGGAACCTAAAGAGAATAGGCGAACGTTATCATAAAAGATTGATTAGTCGGGGAGAACACATTGTTTGACCCGCAAGATCACCTGGTCCTGCATCATTAGACTCTTATCTATGGGCAACAACGAAAGAGATTGTGTGGAGAGTCGTGCGAGAGACAATTTACGACAAGAATTGGTAGAAAGGATTAATAGTCATTCACTGAACTAAAACAAGATAAACGTAATAATCGGAGAGTGATAAACTCAAACTTCGTATGATGCTTGTACTCGAAACGGGAGACTGCACTTTGAAATAAAAACATAAAGCAATGTTTTTTTCAATGTAATAAAGCATGATTATAAAGCGTTTGCGGGCCTACGTTTATATAACATCTTTTTCTTATTTCTGTTCATAAAACATACTGATCAAGTTTAACTGTTTGAACTTCGAACACCTTATATAACCTAATTCTGATATTCAATCGGACAATTTTAATTTCAGCATTCACACACAAACAAATCACACGAGAATTAATCTTTGGTAAAGGATCCTATATTGGATTATACGCAATTATTATGGGAGGCTGACTTTATTTCTCCTACCACGTTCGATATGGCCGAAGTTTTTAAAATAATCTATATAGTATGGATTTAGCATAAAAGCGATGTTTACAAGAAGAATTTTTGACAACTCGAAAGTTAAGAGGTCGGTTTAACGCCAACTTACCAGGCCCGGTTTCAAAATTTAATTTAAAATTGTACATTCATCGTTATTTCTTTTGTTCATCTAACTTTATGTAAATTCTTATACTATCTGATTAATTAATTTCTCAATTTTTATTAACCTTTTGTACTCGGGTGTCCCACCTGAACTTATTCCACCGCAACTTTTTGAGAAATGCATGTTTCCCCAAAGTTTTCTATTAAAGTGGAACAAGAAAGCACATCAAAATATGGAACAATTTCCAAGATATAGAAAAAATATCAGTAGATTTTACATCAGAAGAGAAAGTGAGAACGTGAAAGTGAGAAAGTGAGTTCACAACGATCCCAGCGCTTCTCTGCTCCACTTGAAAATAGCGATAAGGACGACTTGTAGAAAAAGATTGGTATAAAAGTATATCTCGCACTGTATGGTGAAATTTGAGGATGTAAATAAACAAGCCTAAAATTAGAGAGAAAGATTTTCAAAGTTGATCTCAGTTGGTCTTGCGTCGAGCGTTACAGATAGGTTCTTGCACCAATAAGTCGGAAAATCAGAAAAATAATATTCTTGTGGCAAATATCATTTTGTAATTTCGTAATTTACCTCAGAAGGAAGAAAAAATAAAGAACCAATGACACGTTACAAGTTTATCAAAAGTCATATAAATCGGTTGAGAGATGACTTTCGGAAATCTAGAACACGTCCATCCACATCTTCGTCGGACAATAGACTAGACAACAAACTAACATATTCCCAATGTGGAAGAAAGAAAATGGGACTGTATCGTTTGTTCTGATAGGAAAACAGCAGGCGAAAGGCGTAAAACAACTTAAACGTGTATAAACTAGCCTGCAATGCATATTGGGAATTGTTTCAAAATTTATCATACTGCAGAAAATTATAAGAAATAAAATTTTGACTTTTTGGCAAAAAATATGATCCTCAATGTCTATGAATTCACATGAATCAAAAATTACAATACATTACTTGGCTCCAAAGCTATACTATTTACATTATTTTGACGATTCCTGGGTCCACGTTTTCGCAACAAAGTGGCGCCGAATTGCTGGTAAGTAACGTTCGAGACAGCTCCGGGTGCAAAGGGTCAATATAAGAATTTACATAAAGTTAGACAAACAGAAGAAATAACAATGAATGTACAATTTTAAAGTAGATTTTGAAACCGGCTCCGGCAAGGTCGGTGTTGTATCGTAAAAATCAACATTTTGAACAACTTTTTCCTATACATATAACCACCAATCGGCCTTAGTTTTCGAGATATTCCCGAAAGACTGTCGATACCACTACAGTGAATTTTGCCTACAATTTTATTTTATGCGTCAGTATATCACTCTGTGAGGCGGCTGGTACCAATACACTGTCATAGACGAATAGTTATAGACAGAATTCGCTGTAGTGGTACCGGCAGATTTTTGCGAATATCTTGAAAATGAAGGCTGAGTAGCGGTTATATGTACAGGGAAAAGTTGTTCTTATATTAACACATATTAAAAAATCATCGAAATCGGTGAGGTGAATGAAACATCCATAATTATCCAGATCTTTAGTGATGTAATAGTAGAAGTCCTGCTTATTTATTCTGTGTATAAGTATATATGTGCATTTGCATAAATGAGGTACCGGAGTATTGATACTTATTTAGAAAACAACAAGATATGTTTCCCTTGATTTTTCCCAGACTCTACATGATAAACTCTTCACAATCTAATTACATATATGTGCATATGTAATTATATATATAATTATATTATATGGTATATATTAGATAATATGGTATATATTAGATTAGATATATATGTATAGTTATCTAAAGCTTGTCCAATGAGGCGAAGAGGTCGGCATAAACAGAACGTAATTACTGTGGTTACAGCTAATGACTGCCAATCGAGTATCACTTATCGGCGGCCAATGGGTGTAGCTGTAGCTGCAGCAATCACGTTTTCTTTCTGTCTACCTCTGCCTCGTTTTGTTGGACAGACTACAATTAGATGACAAGCTACATGTTTTAGAGTATTCCTGAAAATATAAAAAATGTAAGCATAAATAATATGCATAACATTTGCACCAGGAGTGGATAAAGTACATAAAACTAATTGCATGCTACTTACTGATAAAAAAAGTTAATGACATTTTCTTGTATTATACCAAATAAAAATTGTGCGATTTTACTTCTTTATGAAAGGTAATATGTATTTCTTACCAACTGCAAGATAGCCGTCTTCGACTGATCCGGAAAATTCTGTCTTAATAGCTTCTTCTAAGCTGTGACCAGCAAGGCGTTCATATTCCTCAAAAATTTTTCGTAGTTGAGGGAAACTTTTCGTAATGAGAATAGCATTAAAAGTACTTTCGTCTGTTCCCCATTGTTCCTCACCAGCTGCAAGTAATCTTTCGGCATCCTGCATTGCAGCTTGTTCGTCAACTTCAGGATTTTCATCTCTATTGGCCTATAAAATAATTTATACATATTTTACTAAATATATTTTTATTCTCAATAAGAATAATAATAAGAATAGTACTTCTATATTTGTGCGTTTGTTAATTTTGTAGATTGTGATGTGCACTGTACATAAAATATCTTATGCGAATAATTAGTTCACAAATTATCGCGTTTAAATATTAAAATACTGTGCGAGATAATGTACGTGTATCGCCTCTTCTTGGAATTTTCGAAACGTTCTGAGAGAACGTAACAGCGGTTTAAAATAGTAGCAAAGATAAATTATGAAAAGACAGTGCCGCTTTTATGTGATCATTAGACCACTGAATACGTCTCGATCATGTACACGACATTAAATGTGTGTATTAATGAGTAACTAGAATACAAAATAAGGATGCAATATTGAAAGTGACTTGCTGTGTGCCTCGTTTTAATCGAGTTGCACCACGAAGTATAATAAAGTTAAAAGTTGTTTTTAATCTCTCGTTAGTCATCTCGTACGTGTGACTAAAGTGAATATTTAGTAAACAAAAATGTTTGAATTTATTTGAATGTTCCTTTAAAACACCGTTTCTAGAGCTGTTACATCTTGAACTTCCGAGTCCAACGAGAGAACATATACATTAATTCGCAGAACTTTTATATTTAAAACATACATAAGAAATCCGAAGGTCTCACTAAAAAATCTGATCTATTGTACTTTTTTTATTGATTGTTACGTTACTTACTCCTATAAAACGCATCAACTACGCTTTTTCTTATGCGACTCAAATCAATTACTTCTCGTTTCGTAGATCACACGTTATGTCTACACTATGCTAATCGAACTCGACATTTATCACCAATTTTTTATAAAGATATCCGATAAATTATTATCCAAACATATCCATTAGACACATGACTGACTCATCGTTTTCAAATGACTTTGACATTGAATCTCAAAATTAAATGTTTTATATTGAATCGTATAATATTCGTCACAGGAACAAAAGTCTCGAAGGAACTATGGGCCGCAAATGAACTGTTCTTTTAAAGAATGACGTTAAAGTTCCATTGGTGTTACTTATAATACGTTTAAATTTTGCAGTCAGATAAGAATTAAACACTGTTATATTAACGAGGAAACTAAAAATTATTCCTTAGCACATGAGATAATCCACTCTCGATAAAACAAAGACCTAACTCTATGACTTCAAACTATTGCAGAATTACTTACGGTACGATAAAATATTTCAAACGAGAATCGAATGGTATTGCAGAGAATGATACGGTTTGATATTATTTTCTTGCAGGTGTACAGGCAGAGACCAGGTGAAAATCAACTACGTTTTCCTTTGGATGGTATCAAAATTCTTATTGTGTTAATCGAACAATTCATTGTTCCATCTGAATATTTAATAATAGTCCATATTAAAAACTGTTAGTTCAGCAGATATTTTAATAGCGATATAACACAAATAACTTGGAAGAGAGAAATATTATGTTGAAGGGATATTTCAGTAAAAAGTACTTTTGCAATAAAATAAAAATAATAAATCTCCTTCGTATCTGCTTTACGTATTGATTTGCAAAGAAATCAATGACATCGAGTCTTGAGACTTTGAAAATAGATGCTTCGTTCTATAATATTTGGAACAGGAACATTTATCTTATGTGCTAAGGAATAATTCCTCATCTTTCTGTTTCCTCATTAATATGACACTATTTACTTTCTATCTGACTGCGAAATGTAAACAGCGTCTGTTTGTAATTAACGTCAAAGTAAGAGATAATGGAACTCTAATGCTATTTTCCGAAAATACAGTTCATCTGTGACTCGTGATTTCTTCGAGATTTTTCTGTCTCGTAACAAGTACGGTGAAATTTAAGGTTGTCAATTTTGCGGCATCTCTTTTTAAAAGATCTACATCGATCCGCAAGCGTAGAATGAGAATCATTTGTCAAAACCATAACGTATAATTTTTTAACACTATGTAAGTAAGAATCTAATGAGAATAGAATGGCTCTTAGTCATTTACTTTCAATCCTTTTAAAATACGTTGACAATAGCGTGTGAGCTATCAATTTCTATTTTCATCACGCGTTAAATATAGAAAGATAGATTGATATTTGTTTGACGTCGTGCTATTACTCTGAAGCCACAAGTTTTCGTTTTTTCGATAGAGCGCTTTCCGTCTTTGCACTTGTATGAACTTAAAT